GAGGAGGAGGAGGAGGAGGAGGAAAAGAAGTGGGATCCTTGGTGCTTTCTGAGCTTGGTTGTTTCCTTGCTGATGTTTCCTGACCCAACTAGGTAAAGTCATCAGCGCTAGAAGTCTCAGAAAGAGCAAAAACCATTTCCTTCCCTAGTTGGGTCATGAAACGTCTGCAAGAGAACCACCAAGCTCAGAGAGCACCCAGGACCCCCACAGTAGTCCTCCTCTTCCTCCTCCCCACAAACTACTAGATAACGGAAACGTCCGCAACAGAACCACCCAGCTCTGAGACATCCCCCCCCCAGGAGCCCCCAGTCCGCACCCCCTCCCCGCCTACCTCCTCCTCCTCCTGCGCTTCCACTGCTGGCCCGTTGTGGGCCTCCTGGAAGAGCAGCTTCTTCATTTTGCGATACTGAAGGTTGTCCAGCTCCCTCACGGCGTCCTTGGTTCTCTGGATGAGGTCTATTAACACGGTTTCCGGGCGGTCTCGGAGAACAAAGACGTGCTGGGGGAGAAGGCAGAAGAAAAAGCGTCAGGTGCGCGGAAGGGTCTCTGTCCTCCAGATCAGGGTTGTCCCAAAGGTGGGGTTGTTTTTTCAGGAAGCAACTGGACTTTCTTGTTTTTCCTTGGAAGACCTTTCGCTTCTCATCCCAGAAGCTTCTTCAGGTTCTGACTGGAGGGTGGGAAAAGGAAGGATTTATACTCCTTGCAGACAGCTGGTCATTTGCATCCTTTTAGAGAGTCATTAAGACCACCTGGAGGTTTGCATGTGTCCTCAGGGTCACCTCAGAAGCCCTTCTTGGAACTGCTGAAAGGAACTCCGCACCCATTTGCACCATTCAGGTGACCCCGAGTACACAGGTAAAACCTCCAGGTGGCCTCAACGACTCTCTAAAAAGAGGCAAATGACCAGCTGTCTGCAAGGAGTATAAATCCTTCCATTCCCCCACCATCCAGTCAGAGGTGAAGAAGCTTCTGGATTGAGAAGGGAAACGTCTTCAAGGGAAATGGAAGGATTTATACTCCTTGCAGACAGCTGGTCATTTGCATCCTTTTAGAGAGTCGTTGAGGCCACTTGGAGGTTGACCTGTGTCCTTAAGGTCATCTGAGTGGTGCAAATGGGTGTGGAGCCTTCTTCGAACTGCTGAAAGAAGCCCCCACACCCATTTGCACCCCTCAGGTGGCCCTGAGGACACAGGTCAACCTCGAAGTGGCCTCAACGACTCTCTAAAAGGAGGCAAATGACCGGCTCTCTGCAAGGAGGATAAATCCTTCCGTTCCCCTTGAAGACGTTTCACTTCTCATCCCAGAAGCTTCTTCAGCTCTGACTGGATGGTGGGGAATGGAAGGATTTATACTCCTTGCAGACAGCTGGTCATTTGCCTTCTTTCAGAGAGTCCTTGAGGCCACTTGGAAGTTGACCTGCGTTCTCAGGGTCACCTGAGCGGTGCCAAAGGGGGTGGAGCCTCCTCGGCTACAGGATGTTGTCTGCCCTGGGTCCCTCCTTTGAAACAGCTGGTCATCTGCATCCTTTTAGAGCAGTGTTTCTCAACCTTGACCATTTTAAGGCATGTGGACTTTAACTCCCAGAATTCCACAGCCAGCAACGCTGGCTGTGGAATTCTGGGAGTTGAAGTCCACATGCCTTAAAATGGTCAAGGTTGAGAAACACTGTTTTAGAGAGTCGTTGAGGCCACTTGGAGGTTGGACCTGTGTCCTCAACAACCCTGTAAACACAGGGGTGTCAAACTCAATTTCATCGAGGGCCGCATCAGCATGGTGGTTTCCCTTGGGGGGGGGGGCTGGATGGGTGTGGCCTACTGGGTGGGCGTGGATGGAGTGGGTGTGGCCTACTGGGTGGGCGTGGTTTCGGCAGGCAGCGGGGCGCTCTCCTCACAGCGCCGAGAGGTTGAGCCGGGCGGTGCGAAGCTCGCCAACTTTACACCTTGCTGCCTGCTGAAACTGGGCAGGCTGGGGGGCTAGGCAGCATTGCACTTCTCATCCGATTCGCGCCGCCCGGCTCAGCTCTTGGCGCTGTGAGGAGAGCGCCCCGCTGCCTGCCGAAACCTCTCCTCCGGAGCCCATCAAGCCGGATAGGTGAAGTAGGCGAGGGCCATTTGGTGGCCACTTCCAGGCGATGGTGCATTTCTTCATTCCTCACAAAGGGGGACCCCTCCCCAGCATGCACCCAGGGGGCAGGGCCGACGCGGCAGGGGCCGGTTCCTCGCTTTTTCCACATGACCTTGTGGAGCTAAGACTGAATGCGTTTCAGCATAGACGGCCACCACAAAATTGTACTTTGGCTCCCGGCCGGCCTGGGGCAGGGCCAAGGCAGCGGGGGCCGTTCCCTCACGGTTTCCAGGATGGCTTCGTGAGCCACATGAAACCACTTCGCGGGCCGCATCCGGCCCCCGGGCCTTGTGTTTGACATGTCTGCTATGGGTAGTCCTTGATTTATGACCGGTCGTTTAATGACCATTCAAAGTTACAATGGGCCCCCCCCCGCAGGGGTACAGGTAGGCCTCGAATTACACCCATTCATTTAGGGACTGTTCGAACGTACAACGGCACTGAAAACAATGAAGGCAGGACAAGAAGCAACGGATGGAAACTCATCAAGGAGAGAAGCAACCTGGAACTAAGGAGAAACTTCCTGACAGTGAGAACAATTAACCAGTGGAACCACCTGCCTCCAGAAGCGGTGAATGCTCCAACACTGGAAGTTTTTAAGAAGAGACTGGACAGCCATTTG